CCAAGACGGCGATGCCATAACCATACTTTGGAAGTGTGCTTCTCAACACTCGCACCCCCAATTTTGTAAGCTTGACTGAGGCTAGCTTCACTGCCAGAAGCCAAGTCCAGATAGTAGAGTTTGCCCCTCCTAGTACCACAATCAATCGTCTTGCTGCTGAGAATGTCCTGAAAAACACAATGAGTAGGCCAAAAAGTTACAGTACAATTCAAAGCCGTAGTAATTTGGGCAACAGACAAGAGATTATGATGTAAGGATGGAACAATCAACACATAATCCAAAGTGAGGGAGTCAGAGAGAGAGAGGGAACCCTCCCCAATTACTGGGGAGGGGGTACCATTGGCATTAGACACCACCAATTGAGAAGACAGTGTATGAGAGTAAATGTGTCCGGGATCAAAGGTCATGTGATCAGTGGCTCCGGTGTCAATGACCCATGTGTGTTTCTTTGAAGAACTATGCAAAACATAACCCGGGGAACCAGTGGTGGCAATTGCGGAGGAAGAGACGATATCCATTGCAGTGGAATGATTGAAGAATACGAAAAAATATTTAGGGTTTCGGGGTTGTGTTTAGGGTTTCGGGTTGTGTTTAGGGTTTCGAGGTTGTGCTTAGGGTTTCGGGATTCAGGATTCAGGATTTCAGGATTCAGGGTTTCGGGATTCAGGATTCAGGATTCAGGGTTTCAGGATTCATGATACGAGGATACGGGTTCGTGTTTCAAGGATTTCGATACGAGGGATTCGGGTTCCGAGAAATTTGATACGAGGATTTAGAGACAATCTAGGATCGATTGCTCTGATACCATGCTAAAATATGAATATGGGTTTGAATATGTTCAGATAATTTATTCTTCTCCATAAGGAGGGATATATAAAGAGTTTACAAGAGTGCTATACAAGGAATTAGATACAGGAAAGAATTAGGAAAGTAAATCCCTTAATTAATAAAGGAAATAAATCTCCTTGATTAATTAGGAGACTCACTTCAACAGAAGGCAATGGCCCAGATAACATATTTGAATGTGCAACTAACAGTTCTAGTCGTCTAAGGTTCCCAAACACATTTGGAAGTTCACCAAAGAATTGGTTTCCAAAAATGACTAAGGTCTTGAGGCTAGAGAGCTTACTCAGTTCCTTGCTAATCGGGCCGGAAAGAGAGTTCCCAGAGACTGAAAGCTGCTCCAAAGCTGAAAATGAATACAAAGACTCAGGTAGATGGCCTGCAAATGAATTGTAGTCCAAGTGCAACTGTTGGAGAGACCTGCTGCAATTGTCTAAGCCTTCAAGACTGCCTGTGAGACGGTAGTCCAAGTGCAACTGTTGGAGAGACCTGCTGCAATTGTCTAAGCCTTCAAGACTGCCGGTGAGACGGTTCCAAGATATATCCAGAATTTGAGCTTCATTGGAAGAGCTACAAATTTGAGGATTGAACTGACCAGTGAATGAATTGTTACTTATGTTAAACACCACAAGATGTGGGAATCCTCCTAGCTCAGACAAATTGCCTTTGATTGAATTGCTTGAAATATTCAGTACTTTAATGGACTTCAAACCAGAAAGCGCACCTGAAACTGGTCCTGACAGCATGTTATTGCTCAAGTCAAGAACTTCCAGGTGCTTCAACATTGAGAGCTCTGCAGTCAATCCACCTTCAAGATGATTAAGAGAAAGATTAAGCAACTTCAGCTGATCCAATCGTCCCAACGAGTGCGAAATCGACC